AATTTATCCACTTCTACATTATCCAATTTGTTAGCATACAAGTGTTCATAATAGTCTCTTATGATCTTTTGTATTCCTGTGATATCTGTTAGAATGTTTCCTCTTTCATTTCTGATTTTGACTCCTTTTTCTTTTTTTTTATAATGTGTTGTTAGAATAATTTTATTCATTTTTATTTTTTTAAGATTTTATTTATTCATTTGAGTGAGAGTACAAGTCGGGGTGGAGAAGAGGCAGACAGAGAGGGAGAACCAGATTGCCCACTGAGCAGGGAGCCTGATTGGGCCCTGGGGCTCAATCCCAGGACCCGGAGATCATGACCCGAGCCAAATGCAGACTAGACTCTTAATCATCTGAGCCCCCCGGGTGTCCCTTTTTGCTTTTTTCCTTAGTCTAGCTAAAGTTTTATCAATTTTATCTTTATCAAAAACAGATTTTAGCTAATCTTTTCTATTGCTTTCTAGTCTCTATTTGATTTATTTCAGCTGTGATCTTTGTTAACTCCTTCTGCTAACTTTGGCCTTAGTTTATTCTTCTTTTTCTAGTTCCTTGACATTTAAAGTTGTTTATTTGAAATCTTCCATTTTCCCTTACACATGCATTTATTGCTATAAACTTCCCTATAAGAAAGGTTTTTACAGCATCATTCATGTATTTGTCTGTTGAGTTTCTATTTTCATTTGTTAGGGGATTTTTTTTTTCTCTTCATTTCTTCCTTGGCCCATTGATTATTCTAGAATATGTTGCCTAGTTTCCACATACTTGTAAAAATTCCAGCTTCCTCTTGTTTATTTGATTTTTAGTTTCATATCATTGTGGTTGGAAAAGATACTTGGTGTGATGTCAGTCTAAATTTCCTAAGAATTGTTTTGTGACCTATCATATGATCCATCCTGGAGAATATTCCATATGCACTTGAGAAGATGAGTATTCTGCTGCTGCTATTGACTGGAATATTTTATATATGCCTGTTAGGTTCAGGGATCAAATGTATGATTCAAGTCAAATGTTTCTACATTGCATTTTCTGCTTGAGTGATCCATCTGTTACTTAAAAGTATTGAAATCCCCTACTGTTCTCATTTTGCCTATTTCTACCTTCGGATCTGTCAGCATTTGCTTAACATATTTATGTGTTCCAATATTGGGTGCATAAACATTTACGATTGTTATATCTTCTTGATGAATTGACTTCTTTATCATTCTATAATGATATTCTTTGTCTCATTATAATTTTTGGCTTAAAGTCTATTTTGTCTTACATATGCATGGGCCAACACTGCAAGGCCAATCCCACTTTCTGCTTCCATGGAATATCTTTTTCCATCTCTTCACTTAAAGCCTATGTATGACCTTAAAGCTGAAGTGCCTTTTGGTAGGTAACATATAGTTGAATCTTATCTGGCCATTCTATGCCTTTCGATTGGTAAAATCAATTCATTTACATTTAGAGAAATTATTAACATGTAGACTAATGCCATCTTACTAATAACTCTCTGGCTATTTTGTAGTTCCATTGTTCTTTTCCCTCTTTCTTTTCCATGGCAGTATGCTCTGATTCCCTTCACTTATCTTTTGTGAATCTAACAGATTTTTGCTTTGTGCTTATTGAGACTTACATAAAACCTGTTATAAGGGGCATCTGGGTGGCTCAGTCATTTAGGTGGCTTGCTCTTGATTTTGGCTCAGGTCATGATCTTGGGGTCCTGGGATCAAGCCCTACATCAGGCTCCACACTCAGTGAAAAGACTGCTTGAAAATTCTTTCTCTCCCTCTCCCTTTGCCTCTCTCCCTGCTCTCTCTCTCTAAAATAAATAAGTCCTTTAAAAAATCTTGTAAAACAGTCCATTTTAAGCTGATGGATAGCAACTTTAATCACATAGGAAAGCTCTACTCTTTTACTGCCCTTTTTATGTTTTTGATCTTACTATTTTTTACTTTTTATATTAATTCATTAACAGATTAGTTATTTTTTATATTGTTTGTTTTATGGTGTCCCACACATCTTGTAGGCTTCCTCTCTTTCATTCCTTTTTATTTTGTTCTCCTCTGACTCGGGTATTTCAAAGCCCCCATCCTCTATCCCTCTGATTTTATATTTGCTTGAACTCTTCTCCTGTTGATGTTCTATATTGCACTTCTCATTTCATTCATTCTTCAGCTCCAGATTTGTTTGTTTTTATATTATTTCTCTTTGTTGAATTTCTCATTTTATTCATATATTGCTTTCCTGCTCATTCAGTTCTATGTTTTATTGTAGATCATTGAGTTTCTTTAAAGCAGCTAATTTGAATTATCAGGTAAATCACAGAATTCTGTCTTTGAGTTCAGTTACTAGAGGATTGTGGAAATCTTTCTGTGATGTCATGTTTCATTGATTCCTCCTGTTTCTTGGAGTTTTGCATTGCTGTTTTCTCATTTGAAGCAGTCACCTCCTCCAAATATTGCTAGATACCTTCAGGTCAAATATACTTTTTATTGGTTCTGCTTACTTTCTCTGTCCCTATAGGAATACATGTGTTCCCTGCTTCTTGCCCCCTTGTGGCAGAAATCTTAAGCTTCTTTGTCTTCTCTCAAGCTTACAACTCACCAGTCTGGCTGCTGAAAACCTGCATGGTCTCGGTCTACCAAAACTGGCCCTAACTGCCATACATGGGAGCATACACAAAGATCTAGCTGAAGAATTGAGTGTGGGTTTAACGTTTGGGGCACTGGGGATGCCTGCAGGCCAAGTGGGGGATCCTTGCGCAAGGTTTTCCCAGTGGTTTGTGGTGGGCTTCTTCCTGGAGTCCTGAATGCAGCTAGGAGGAATTGTACTCCTTTGATACACTCTGATATTCTTACAGCCCCATCTCTTCTCTCCGCAGTCATGCAGGTACTGCCTCAATACTGTGGATGCTGCAAGAGAGAAACAAGTTTCTTCAGCAGCATCCTACACAAGTAGGGAAGCTGGGCAATCATCCACTGTTTTCCCCTGTGGAAGAAGTCATTGCTGGCTAGTTTAGCTCCATGATATGCCACCCTGGGGCAGGGGTGGCACTGGTAAAGTTCCTTTTACCCCCCGCCTCCTTCCTTTTTTCCAACACAGTGCTAGACTCTCTCCTCAGGAAATCTGGAGATCTACAAAGGCTCTGTCATTTGTGAGTATCTGCCTAATTCAGCACTCTCCACATTTGCCCTTAATTGTGCTAAGAGGGGCTGGAGCTGATTCAGACTTCTGGTTTCACACCCTGTATCAAGGACTGTCAGCTTATTACTCAATGTGGGTGAGACTCCTCTTAAGTCCCTTAGCTTTGGGGTTGGATTCCACAACAACCACAGAGGCACTTTTACTTGTTAATCATGGGGAGGTCAACTGAGGGTAGGCGGCTTATGCTGTCATGATGCTGTCGTCATTCCTCAAAATTCAGATTTCTATGAAGAATTTTTATTTTTACCTTGGTATGAATTTTTCCTTCTTATACTTTACCATCACATATTTTTCTTTAAGATGAATTATCTCTTGTCATAAGAAATAGATGTTGGTCAAACTTTACTTATATTCATTTACATGAATGTCTCTTTTCCATTATAATGTTTTTAATGTTCAGTAAAACATGTATACTAGTTACAGGTTTTTCCATAACAAAATTGAAAAGATAATAATGACAAAGTCTAATACTAAGCAAGCTTTATTATGTGATAGGCACAATTGTAGAATCCACATAACAAGCCTCTGAAGTGAGCTAATTATGCCCACATTACCATAAGCACATTATATATGCATATAAAAGGATCTGGAAGAATAAATAAGTTGCTTAACATTGGGAAAATAACTAGGGTCAACAATTCTGGTCAAGGGAAGCAGAACTTATACATTATAGTATAAATCTTTAAAAGCAGAAAACACCTCATACATTTTCTCTGAAATGAACAATAAAAAAATAAAGACACATTCAAAAGGAGCCATCAAGGTAACTCTTTATAATGGCAAAATTTTCCATACTTAACAAAATAGGGGCTTGATAAAGACAGGTGAATACCTTCAAGCCAATAGAAGAGTAACAATATATTTACAAAGAATATTAAAGGCTGGTTATAGTATAGCACAATCACACTTTCTTTCAAAAACAATGACATGGTCTTAAAGAGTTTGCTACAAAAATCTGACAATGATTGTCTATGGTTGGTATGATTACAGATAACTATTTTTTGTTCATATCTACATTAATATAGAGAAGAACTATTCTTTAAAAAGGGTATAGACTTTATAAAAGGCAAGTAAAACAATATTCCAAAACAAAAGATACAGAGCCACAAGATATTAAAGAATACTTAAAAGTAACAGTAACAACACAAACAAAATGGAACACAGATACACAGATATGCAAATTTAGAAAATGAAGACTGACCTGATATCCATGCTTCATATGTATAAAAATATAACTTACCATCAAACAGGCAATAAAAAATACAAAAATAGATATGGCTATTAAATAAGTGGCATTCAAATGAGAAACAGGGAGAAGGGCAAATTTAGACCCTCAATAAATAACTTAAAATAATTTTGAGATGGATCAGTAAACAAAAGTAGCAGGGTTAGCCCCCAAATGAATTTTTCAATGTTTAAAATAAAGGCAAAATACAATAAGCAGTTTAAAAATTTTTAATATTCACAAGTATGAATTTTCCAAAAATAATGAAAGAATGAATATAGATAGAGATCTTCAGAGTGGTTTTTCTTTTCCTGTATAAATTCACTCAGATGAAGTTGTAAAGCATAAGTAAGGCATTTGTACCTTAATTACATTTGTAGTGACTCTCCCTAATACACATTTTCTTATGTGTCCTGTGTCCTTCCTTACCACATAATCCTAACATAAGTTTCCAATTCACAGAGCTATTCACCAGTATGACTTTTTTTATGTTGCTGAATCTCTGAACCCCTCCCAAAAGCCTTTCCACATTCCTTACATTCATAAAGTTTCTCACCAGTATGAATTTTCTGATGTTGAGTAAGGCTTGAGCCTGTACTAAAATTCTTCCCACATTCCTTACATCCATAGGGTTTTTCATCAGTGTGTATTCTCTGGTGCCGATTAAGAGCTGAACCACTACTGAAGGACTTTCCACATTGTTTACATTCATACGGTTTTTCACCAGTGTGAATTAGCTGGTGCTGGATAAGTTTTGAGCCACTACCAAAGGCCTTGCCACATTCTTTACATTCATAAGGTTTCTCACCAGTATGAATTCTCTGATGTTGCGTAAGGTCTGAACCACTACTAAAGGCTTTTCCACACTCCTTACACTCATAGGGTTTCTCACCAGTGTGCATTCTTTGATGCTGAATAAGTTTGGAACCACTTCTAAAGGCCTTCTCACATTCCTTACACTCATAGGGTTTCTCACCAGTGTGAATTCTCTGATGTTGAGTGAGATCTGAGCCACTGTTAAAAGCCTTCCCACATTCCTTACATACATAAGGTTTCTCACCAGTGTGAATTCTTTGATGTCGAGTAAGGGCTGATCCAAAACTAAAAGCCTTCCCACATTCATTACAAATATATGGTTTTTCACCAGTATGAATTCTCTGATGCCGAGTAAGGGCTGAACCACTACTAAAGGCCATCCCACATGCTTTACATTCATAAGGTTTCTCACCAGTATGAATCCTTCGATGTTGAGTAAGGTTTGAACCACTGCCAAAGGCCTTCCCACAATCCTTACATTCATAAGGTTTCTCACCTGTGTGAATTCTGTGATGCCGAGTAAGGGCTGATTCAAAACTAAAGGACTTCCCACATTCCTTACACTCATAAGGCTTTTCACCACTGTGAATTATCTGATGTCGAATAAGGCCTGATCCAAAACTAAAAGCTTTCCCGCATTCTTTACATTCATATGGTTTCTCACCAGTATGAATTCTCTGATGATGAGTAAGGTTTGAGCCACTACCAAAGGCCTTTCCACATTCACTACATTCATAAGGTTTCTCACCAGTATGAATTCTTTGATGGTAAGCAAGGTTTGCACCACTACCAAAGGCCTTGCCACATTCTTTACATTCATAAGGTTTCTCACCAGTATGAATTCGCTGATGTCGAATAAGGACCGATACAAAACTAAAATCCTTCCCACATTCCTTACATTCAAGGAGTTTCTCATCAGTATGTATTCTCTGATGCTGGGTACTGAAAGTGGGCATGTCTTCAGAAGTAAATATCATTTGACTGAAATGTCCTTCCTGAGATTCCTGTTTTCTCTCAAACTGGCTTTTACATTCCCAATCACCTCTGAAACTTGAACACTCAATGCTGTTTTTTATAAGTCTTTCCATTATCTCTCATCAGGATGATTCTATTCCATAAATATCCTTTTTCAGAAATAATTTCTTGGTCTCAACCTTGATTCACAGTCTGAAAGAAAATATAAAAGCAAACATTCACTTTTTTTGTGTTCTGGGAGAAATAAAACTTTTATAATAGAAATGAAAAGACTTAACTGAAACTAATTTTCATAAAAACTGAGTAGCTTATACCATTCTCAAATATGATTGGGCAATTTGACAAACAGAAAAGGAAAGTAAAAAGAAGTCACACTGGAAGATGAAGGAGATATTTAGGAAAACAGATTAGTCAGTCACTCCTAAATAGTGATTTAAATAAAACCCCCTTCAAACACGGGGAGCTTGATAAATATAAAGACATCTAGACTCTCCCCCAATTTTGTTAGAGAATAAATCTAGCATCATATACATTTTAAAATGATGGAAATTACCATTTAACCCATTTCTTAGGGTTGTTTGGAGCATTAAGAAACTACAACTAGAAGGAAAAGTCTAGGATAAATAATCAAGTAACAAACATAAATTGCATATAATCTGAAGGAAATAGAAGAGAATGTTACTCCAGATATAGCAGTATCCTAATGAAAGATTAATGTGACGAATGAGCAATACAGAAGGAAGAATCTATGGTGTTTAGAATATGGCTTATTTATGCCATTTGGTAAAACCCACATTTACCCAGGAAGTCTATGAGGCTAAACTTGGGAGAACAAAGAAAGTAGCAAAAGCTACTGTAATGGCGAATCTAGTTTTAAAGTCTGTGAGAAGGGAAGAGCAGAGATAGGTAATGTGATACTGTTAGCAGGTTGCAAGGATGCAAATAGATATGTATTCTGAACCCCAGATCCAATGATTATTGAATGATTCTGAAATCACACATAATACATTTATGTAGTTGTGTAAAGTAACTGCACAGTGTTCAGTGGCTATAATTTTGGAAGATCTGCATGCCAGAAAAGAATGGATTTAAATATATCAATTAAGTCCCTGAGCACATACATCAAACTCCAAACGTGAAAACATTTGAGCTTTAGTCTCTTCTTGTAACACTTATACAGCAAGATTATTTGGGGTAGGCCTAAATATGTCCTCAAATTCTTTCCATCTCCACTGTCAATAGATGATCCAGGCCCAAACTTTTATTTGGACACAAAAGCAGCATTTTATTTAGTTGTCTGCCTTTCCAGTTTTACACCCTTAGCAGCCAGAGTGATATCCAGCTTGGCACTGTTCTGTTAAAAATGTTTCAGTGATTCCCCATTGACCTTAGGATAAGATCTGTATGCCTTAACTTGGTCTTAACAATTCCTCAGTAATCTTCCTCCCGCCTGCCTCTTCAACCTGATCCTTCTCTCCCCTCAACAATAACTTATAGCTATACTGGTCTTTTCAGTTCTTCAAATGCACTAAATTGTTACACTCCCCCCACCATACACACACACAAAATGATTTCATCTGCTCTACATATTTGTCCATATTCCCTTCTCCACTGCCCTCTCTTGGCCTTACCAGTTCCTGGACATTGTTAAGGTCTCTGCTAAGTGGCATATCCTAATAAAGATTTTTTCTGAATACTCAGTCTTAATTATGCACATCCTATCATTACCTCTCAAAGCACTTTCCCCCCCTTTTTTCCTTCCATTCTTGGTATTTTTGTTTTGGTAAAGGTTGATTACACATTTGTCTCCTACAATTGTAAATTTCATATTGAATGTTTGCTTAATGTCTGTCTGCTACAACAGAACCAACCTTCAAGAAGGAAGGATAGACAATGTATGTTACTTTAATTGACTTGAACTCTGGCACATGCAAAAAGATCAAAATACATTTAATGGATGCCTAATATAATAAATTAATTTCAAAATCCATTATCCTTAAAAATAAACATTTAAAAACAAGATTTCTCTAGAAAGAGAATTCTCTTGTTCTCTCAAAGAGGACAAGTCAATCACATGCAGTTTTTCCTGCCCATTTCTTCACTAAAATCAATGAAATGGGATTTTTTAAAAGGACCAAATGCTTAGGCAAGGAGAATTAAAGAAGAGATAGAAGCAACAAAACTTCTGAAGTTGGAAAGCATAAAAATAAATGATGACTAACTCAACAAACCAAATAATGATGAAACCAAACTCAAAAAGGAAAACCCTGAGGAGGATGATTTATGCTGCAGAACCCCCAGAAAGGCTTAAGAAATGGAGGCACTATGTACTTAGGTACATTTGGCATACAGAAAGCAAAGTCAGGTTCATAGTGTCCGTTCTAAACTACAGAGAGGCAAATATCATAATATATTTAAGGAAACCCTATCATGTAAAAAAGGATTAAATAAACAAGCCCCAAAGAACTTAAAAGAAAAACTACAGAAGAAAAGAAGAAAAATTTCAGAAGCCACCATTAATATCCTAAGAGGGATGAGAGAAGTTATTTTATATGCTAAAAAATCAGATGACATAAAAGGAATGAGATGGAAAAAGGATCTTAGGAAATGAAAATATAAAGTGGGAATAAAAACAAGTAATTACAAAGATGAAAAGATAAATGAAAAAAATCTCTTTTAAAAGTACAACAAGGGGGGCTCCTGGGTGGCTCAGTGGGTTAGGGCCTCTGCCTTCAGCTCGGGTCGTGGTCCCAGGGTCCTAGGATCGAGCCCTGCATCGGGCTCTCTGCTCCGCAGGGAGCCTGCTTCCTCCTCTCTCTCTGCCTGCCTCTCTGCCTAGTTGTGATTTCTCTCTGTCAAATAAATAAAATATTTTAAAAAATAAAATAAAAAAATAAAAGTACAACAAGGGCACCCGGGTGGCTCAGTGGGTTAAAGCCTCTGCCTTCCACTCAGGTCATGATCTCAGGGTCCTGGGATTGAGCCCTGCATCAGGCCCTCTGCTCAGCGGGGAGCTTGCTTTCCTTCCTCTCTATCTCTGCCTGCCTCTCTGCCTACTTGTGATCTCTGTCTGTCAAACAAGTAAATAAAATCTTTTTTAAAAAAAGTACAACAAGATATGGAAATGGAAAATAAATGAAAATTGAAAGGTCATGTAAGGCAGCTCAATATCTAATGGAAAAAGATCATTTTTAAAAGTGTGTTAAGTATCTGCCAAGTTTCAGGGTGTTAGTAGGAATAAAAAAAACCTGAAAATCATCATTTTGAAAACACCAATCTAATTATTGATTTAGGCAAGTATTCTCCATAAATTCTAAAACCAGAAAGTAAATGGTTGTTAAGAAAAAGGATATTCAATGGTCTCAGAGTATCACTCCACAGACTATTTGCTAATTATAAAGGGAAAAGTATACCTTTATACTGGGAAAATTTAGTATTCACCACCTTTAATCTTAAGTTTAAAAAAAACTGGACATCACCAATAGTGCAACAACCTATACCTCCCAAAGTAATGCAATAAAAGGCATACCATCCTATCACCTACATAGTATGCTTACCAAATACTTGGGCTGAATCTAAGCCTCCAATTTACATGAGAAAGCCATCCAAAAGACAAATGGAGGTTGTTAAGACAATCTATAAGACAACTGTCCTGAATTGCCTAAAACATTCAGTGTCATATTAAAAAAAAAAAAAATATATATATATATATATATATATATATATGGTCAGTTCTAGATTAAAAGAGACTAAAGAGACCCAACAACCAAAATAATACATGAATCTTGACTGGATCCTAGATCAAACAAACAAGTGACCAAGTAAATGAACAAAAAACATTACACCAGTTAAAAAAATTAAAAAAGAAAAAAACATTTTTGGGAACCACTGGAAATACTTGAATGCAAAATGCTTGAGGTGATATTAATGACTTAATGCAAATTTTCATAGATTTGCTATGTCATTGTTATTGTTTGTAAAATGTCCTTATATCTAGGAGATGCATGCTAAAAGTATTAAGGGTTAAAATGTCCAGATGTCCCCAACTTATTTTCAAATGATTCGGAGGGGAGGAGGTTGAGAAATACATGTGTGAGTGTGTGTGTCTGTGTGTGTTCAGAAAGATAAAGTAAATGTGGTGAAATGTTAACACTTGGCAATTTTAGGTGAAGACCAAATAGGGTACATGCGGTACACTGAAATGTTCTCTCAATTTTGCTGTATATTAGAAAATTTTCAAGGAAAACAGAAATTACAGATTGTTTTATCTGAAATGAAATGAAATTTAAGAAATTTTCCAGACTTGGGGCGCCTGGGTGGCTCAGTGAATTAAAGCCTCTGCCTTTGGCACATCGGCACACCAGGCTCTCTGTTCAGCAGGGAGCCTGCTTCCTCCTCTCTCTTGGCCTGCCTCTCTGCCTACTTGTGATCTCTCTCTATCAAATAAATAAATAAATAAAATCTTTAAAAAAAAAAAAAGAAATTTTCCAGACTTGAAGGACATGAATCTCCATATTTAATGGACTCATTTGATACCTACCATAAAGAATAAAATTGATTCACACTAAGATAGATTTTACATTAGGTTCCAGGACACTAGGAACAAAGAAAAAACCATAAAAGGCTCCAAAAACTAAAAACAGGGCATAAATAAAAGTGCAGGAATGAAAACAGCTTTGGAGTTCCCAATAATATTCTAAGCAGGAAGTCATGATTACAAAGTTCTAAAGAAAAGTAATTTCAAGTAGAATTCCTGTCCTGTAAAAGAACCAATGTACTGATTGAAAAAGCCCTTTTCAGATATACTAGAACTCACATGCTTAACAAATTTATCCATTCTTACATGCCACCTATATAAAAAACCAATTTTTATAA